GCTCGCGGCGAGCGGCGTGACGCTATCGCACGCCGACAAGTCGGTCCGGGACTTCTGGATCGACCACGGCAAGGCGTGCCGGCGGATCGGCGCAGCGATGGGCGCCGCGACGGGCTCGCCGTGTGTGACGAACGTCTGGGTACCCGACGGCTCGAAGGACACGCCCGCCGACCGCAAGGCGCCGCGTGAACGCCTCGCCGCTTCGCTCGATGAGGTTTTCAGCGAGAAGCTCGACCCGAAGCAGAACCTCGACGCGGTTGAGTCCAAACTCTTCGGCATCGGCGCCGAGAGTTACACCGTGGGCTCGCACGAGTTCTACATGGGGTACGCGATCAAGAACGGCAAGGTGCTTTGCCTCGACGCGGGTCACTTCCACCCAACGGAGGTGATCAGCGACAAGCTCTCGGCAGTCATGCAGTTCATTCCGGAAGTGTTGCTGCACGTCAGCCGTGGGGTGCGTTGGGATAGCGACCACGTCGTGGTGCTGTCCGACGAGTTGCGGGCGATCGCGCAGGAGATTGTCCGCGGCGGGTACGGTAACCGGGTTCATATCGGTCTCGACTTCTTCGACGCGACGATCAATCGCGTCGCGGCGTGGGTCATCGGCGTGCGATCAACGCAGAAGGCGCTGCTCGCCGCGCTGCTGGAGCCGTGGGGCGAAGTCCGCGACGCCGAGGCCGCCGGCGACCTGACGGCGCGGCTCGCGTTGATGGAAGAGCACAAGACGCTTCCCTTCGACGCGGTGTGGACGCACTACTGCGAAGCGAAGGGCGTCCCCCCGGGCGCCGGCTGGCTTAAACAAGTTCAACAATATGAAAGCGAAGTGCTGTCCCAACGCAGCTGAGTTAGCCACAAAGTAACGAAGGAACAAAGGACGTTTGCATAAGGCAGCTCACTGCTACTCAATGCTCCCTTTGTTCCTTCGTTCCTTTGTNNATCCCCGATCTAACTAGCGGCCCTCTTCTACAGCAATTCTATGGCTGAGACGGAATCCTCCGGCGGTGAGTTCGAGCGCACGCCGGTGCCGGAGTCGGCGTTATTGGGGCCGAGCAAGTTTTGGGGTATGTACGCCGGTGAGCATTGCGCGGGCACCGAGTTTATGATCGGTCCGCTGTTCCTCGCCGCGGGGGCGAGCCTGCAGGATGTGGTCGTCGGGCTGTTGCTCGGCAACGTTCTAGCGGTGCTGACGTGGCGGTACTTGGTGGTGCCGATCGCGATGGCGAAGCGGATGACGCTTTACTACCAGCTCGAGCGGATCGCCGGCTCGCAGATGGTGAAGCTGTACAACGTCGTCAACGGCGTGCTGTTCTGCTTCCTGGCGGGAGCGATGGTGACGGTGTCGGCCAGCGCGGTGGGAGTGCCGTTTGGAGTTGATTACAAGGTGCCGGAGGAGACATTCGCCTTGGGGTCTCCGTCGTTCACGTTGATTGTCGTGCTGGTTGGCATCGTGATGAGCGTCATTGCGGCAGCCGGCTACACGACCGTGGCGCGGGTCGCCAACTATGCGGCGCCGTGGATGATCGCGGTCTTCGCGGCGGCGGGGCTCGTGTCGCNNAGCTGACCGAGGGCGCCTTCTGGAGCGACGCGATCGCCTTCATTCAGAATGAGCAGGGTGAGAAGGCGTTCCCGTTCTGGCAGTTGGTGGCGTTCGCTTGGCTCTGCAATGGGGCGATGCACTTTGGGATGGCCGACCTGTCAATCTTCCGCTACGCGCGGCATGCGTCGAGCGGCTGGGCGCCGGCGATCGGCATGTTCCTCGGCCATTACGTCGCCTGGATTTCGGCGGGCCTTTTGCTGGCGGCGCAGATCAAGCTCTCGCAGCTCACCGATCCCAACCCGGGTGTGATGGCGTTCAGCGCGCTCGGATGGACCGGCGTTCTTTGCGTCGTCATCGCGGGTTGGACGACCGCGAACCCAACGATCTATCGATCGGGCCTTGCGTTCCAGAGCCTCATCCCCGGCATGTCGCTGGTGACGGCGACTTTGATCGCCGGCGCCGTCGCGACGATTGCCGGCGCGTTTCCCAACTTGGCTTATAAACTGCTCGACTTTGTCGGCACCTATGGGACAATTCTTGGGCCGATGGGCGCCGTGATCTTCGTCGACTACTGGCTGATGAAGCGGATGGGGCTCACCGAGGAGTACGCCGCCCGGACTGGCATGCAGTTCAACATGGCGGTGCTGGTCGCCTGGGGCCTGCCGGTCGCGGTGGGTCTGTACCTGATCTTCAAGCAGGGGGTATTTGCCGCTTACTGCGTTGTGCCGGCGTGGATCGCTTGCGGCGTGATCTACCTCTTGCTGAGTAAATTGACGCAGCGGCCGCAGCCGGAACTCACCCATCTCGCTGACGCCTAAGGAACGGACCGATGAAGAAACTGGTGATGCTCGTTGGGGCGCTGGCGATCGCGACGATCGCCTTTGCGCCCCTTGCGTACATCAACGGCGCGCTGAGCCTAGACGCGTACAAGACGTTGGCGCTGGTGATGACCGCCGTCTGGTTCGTGGCGGCGTTGTGGCCGGGGGCCGAGGCGTCGATGGAAGAAGCGATCGACGAGTGACATCCTCC